GAAGATAAAATTTAGTGCTGGAAGAAAGATGATTTATAAACATCCACTCCAAAACTCTGGGCACATTTGTATCCTCCCTCTCTCACACATGATTTGTATCACAGGTTTCTTGAACGAAGAGGTGCAGTGGGCTGCACATGCAGGGAGATAAGATATCTGTGCTGTCAGGGTTTGCCAAGTTCCTATGCTCTGACTTGGACAAAAAGCACAAGCTTTGAAGCCAGGACAATACACATATATTAGAGCACCTGATTTCAGAAGTGCTGCTGGATGCTCCCACCACCAAGACAAGTCTGGACTCTAAGGCGAGGGTTTACAGAGTCAGAGTGACCAAACATCACAGTCCAACCCCACTGCCCTCAGTGTCTGCAGAGAACCAAGGTGCTTCAGAGCACCCTGCCCAGCACCTCTTCACATCCTGCTCTGAGATGCTGCAGCAGCCACTGCACACAGTGTACCACACATGAGCCACCTAAAACAGGATTAATCTCCTTTTTTTGATAATGAAGAAAGGTTTTCTCAGAGGATAAAGCAAAGGAACTGCACATTAGCTGTTAGCAGCTGCACCTCTTCCCAGTGTTTCAGATCTGATCAATCACAGCAGGACTTTCATCTTTTTTTGACTTCTGGCTGTCTTACTGAAAGCCATAAACTTCAGTTTTGCCCATGGGAGAGTCCATTCCAGAAATGGTACATTCTGGCACTGCCAATGTACTTGGCAGATATAATGTGCACTTTAAGGGCTTTCCTAACTTCAGTGAATTTCACAGTAGCAATTATCTTCAATTACTCCAGATGAAAGACCACACAAAATGTTAATTCAAACCCCCCTTCTCCCAGAAGCCCCCTGCTATCCCCAGTCACCACTGCCCTACTTTTTCCTTCACCAACGCCCAGAAGGTTGGACCTTGATGCTCACGTTTCCTGATGTGATTGCTGCCTTTGTCATACCTTCTTTTCCATATATATCATAAAAAAATCCTGTCTCATTTCAGGGTATTTAAGAGTACTTGTGCCACCTCCACACAGACACGTTTGGCTGCTTCTTACCTAATTTCTCCCACAGCCTCAATGAGAACAGAAGGAAAACAAGAGAAAACAACTGGGCATTTACACCAGCAATTAGAGGTAGAATAAGCCACTCTGTGAGATCCAGCTCTTTCTGCTGCACTGCAGGACACAAAGCAGCATCACCTAAAAGCAGTGTGTGTCAGAAGAGCTTTATTAGTGAATAAATTAATGGGATATATCAGCACTACCTTGATTTTTAGCAGCTACGAAGAGCTTGTATTAAAGTTGTGAAGATATTTAACATAAATTAGAACAATATTCAGCAGAAGCTACGAAATAAGACTGAAACAAAACCAAGCTACACAGCGATGGCTTCGTAATTCAGGTGCGTTTAGAGGAAATATCAGACTCAAAATGAAAACTGAGGTCAGCAATATGTTGGGATGGTTTAAATCACAAATGAGAGAGCTTGTCTTCAAAACTGAAACTTGTTCTCAGGCTGAATTGCCAAGACCACACATGGCACCACATGGCAGTGTAGGAAAAAACAAAACTTCTATGTCCCCGTGATCCATGCAAGATGAACTGGGAGAACTACTGGTGAAAGTCAAGAGGAGAAGGAAGGAGACTTAAGTACGTAAATTTTTTCTGAGAAGAGCACGCAGCAAGTGTGCCAGAGGTCCAAAATACCAACATTCACTAGAAATGCAGAATCACTTCACTTCCAGAGCAAGTTCAGTACAAGCCTTTGGTCCTCCCTAGGAGGAATGACCACACTCTACATTGCTTCACAGACCCTTGAGCTCCCTTCTGTAAACTTCTGAGATTTCACAGCTCCATTCTTTTCATTACTTTTTTCTTCCAGTTTGCTGCATGAAACCTCTGGCCTTGGCTGCTCCACCCTATAGAGCACTGAGTTTTACAGCTATTTGCCAAACAGCAGCAACAGCCTCGGCTTTGTTTTTACAATGATGATAATCCTTGCCCTAAAGAACTCACATTTAACGGGCATGTCTCATCAGTGACTCACTCGACCTGTGTCAAATAGGGCAACCGCTACGAGCCTGGTCACAGGAGCCTAAAATCCATCATGGGCAGCAAACTGCTCCTGGAGCAGCAGCCTGGGGGGTCAGATGAAGCTCCCCAGAGTCCAGGGAGCTTCAGTTCTCAAGCTTGCACAGGCTGTTGCTGCCTCTTTTCTGGGGTGAGATGACACAGGAAGTCCAAAGAATCCTGGTGTCAATTCCTCTACTGTATTTGCTGAAAAGCTCCTGACGGCAGGAAGAGTGTGAACAAATCCTTACAAGTCTTGAAACGGGCAATAACCGGTGCCACTAATGAAGTGGTCTAAGAGGCACCGCGGAGAGCAGAGCAGTGACAGAAACACAGGAAGGGGGGGAAAAAAGGGGTTTTGAGACAGACTGCTGCGAGCAGAAAAAACACACAAAGCCAGGCCTGGTGATGCATTTGGGCACAACACCAGGGCCAGGGCCAGGGAAGATGAGCAGCACAGTAAAGACATTGTGGGATCCTAAAAATCGGAGAAAGGGGGCAGTGACAGTCATGTAGATGAGTAAAACGGTTCTGGGCAGGGAGCCCACCACAAGAACAGTGCAGGGGAAAAGCCACCCGCAGAGAGGTCCAGCAGCGCATTCCACGTTTGAGATGCTGCGGACTAAAACCAGCGAGCTGGGGGATGACTGAAAAGCCCTGAGCAACTCGTTTGTGCTGCCACTTGAGCCTCTCCAGAATAGGAAGCGCAGGCTGCAAAGGAGAAGTTTGAGGTTTGGGTTTTCTGAGGCCAACGCCGCTTTGTTTGCTGAGCCTCGTGCCGTCGCGGCTTCCCTTTCCATGGGAATTGTGAGGGATCTGGTGGCTGTGCCCCAGCAGAGCAGGCGCAGATAAACCTTCTCCATCAGGAGCTCACTGAAATACAACGCTCTGCAATTCACTTCCAGTGGCCTGTTACTTGATGTTCGTGAACGTACAAGACACGGAAAATGTCGCTTTTACACCAGGCTTTCCCAACACAGCTGTTACGACAGCTGTGTTACTTCACACAGCTATTGCTTTATCTGAAATAAAATACCAGGCACATTTCATCTAGTTGTCTGGGCAATGAGAGGACCACATCAAAAAGAAAAAAAAAAAAAAAGGAAAAGAAGACAGGTTTTTAAATTGAAAAGCCACAAGTAAATGAGAGTGGACCTACTCCTTGCAGAAGCAGAGTGCTTTCATCACTGAAACTCTTCCCTCCTCCCCAAACAGCTGAGCCTTAACATCTCACACTCTTGGGTTACTTCTGAACATCCTACACTTTATACACTTCACACAAACCAATTTTAAGTAATTCATGGCACTCAGGAGAATCCAGCACTAGGGATAATTTAACAGAAGCTGATCAAACAAAACTGATTTTGAGAAAAGCCCCATCTATTTCTGTCAGACAGCATTCCTAGTGCAGTTGTGTGCTGTCATTAGCTATTTCAATCCAACATTTGATCATACTGAATTCAGGAGAGCTCTGCCAGTTTAAGTAGAACCAAAATGTTAACCTTCAGTAGCTTAATCAAATGCCACATGGTACAGGCACTCACAGCAGAAGTTATTTCAACTTTGAATGTCTAGAGAAAAAATTTTATGCGGCTAAAAACTGTGGAAAAAGTTACTGACTCCTTACAAACTTCTAACCACAATGCTGGCAATACATAAACTAGTTCCAGGTCTGAAAGCAAGGAACGTGGAGAGACACTGTTAGTCCAGAAAATCTTTAGGCACAAAAGATATGAATGAATTACTGCAGCTGGAAACCTCCTTCCCCTTCCTCAGAGGCTTTCCCATCACTGAACTGTGAACTGAAACGAGGCAACAGCTTTCAGGGGCAAAAACTCAGTGTCAGAAGTTGAACACAAGTCTTTGCAGCTCAGCAGCAATATCTGTCATCGTTTGTGACCACAGCTCCTGTCACACGGGCAGAAGAATCCCCCCCTTCACCACATCTCATAAAAGGACAAAGCGGTAGTTGTGTCAAGTCATAAATGTTTGTGTACAAAACCTGTTCACCCTCTCTTCTGCTTTCAGCTTCTCCCTTAGTTCTATGACAGACCTACTGGCATTCGCTCTGGTGAAACTGCAGCTCAAGCCTTGTAAGTGTTTTCAATCAGACAGTCTGCAAACACCCAGGACTCGATTCAAAAAGCCCAGCACACCCAGGCAGGAGAAGACCCTCTCACCCCTGAGAGGAGCTGCCAGCCCCCAGCAAACAGCAGCAGGAAACTCTGTCACAAGCAGGCTGGGACTCTCAGGGGTTTTTTCCCCCAAATGCCAAAGTTGCAGCCATATCAGTGTGGGCAGACCATGAGTTTTGGCTTGTCCAAAGCCATCACCAAGAGTGGTGGCTTGTCTCTGCTGACATCAAGGACCTGCCAAGCAGGTGGGGCTGCCAGCGAGTCCCCAGGGCAGCAGCAGATATGGGCTGTGCAGGGTGACAGTGCCAGCCACCAGGAGACATCTCTAGTTCGGGAAAAAACTGTCAGTGTCAGGGTAAACATCTGTCAGCCTCACACATTTCCACTGCGGTAAGAAACACGGTAATTGTATCATCCATTTTCCACGCTCGCACCATGACAAGCTAAAGAAGATAAAAGAGGCTTGGGCAGTCAGGACTACAAGCAGTCGTGGCCATTTTGATTTAAGCTTATTCCCTTTCTGTCTAAATAAACATATCTGTTACGAATGATGAATGTTCCTCCCCTATCCCTCATGTGCCTCGTGTCCAACTCTGTTTCCCTTAGCGCTGCACTTCCATATTTCCGTAGGTCTTTCCTGACACTTCTAGGAAACAAAGAGTGTAGAAACTGTACAGCTGGGTGGTCAAGCTGCAAAGGGAGGCGAGGGCTGGAGGAACCGCTATGTACAACAGCACTCCCCTGCTGCAGCCTCCCCCACCCTCCCCTCTACCTCCCCCAAAGCACGCTCCTCATCCTTACCTCGTAGGACCACACGCACTGCACTCCCGCAAACCTCCGCACGCATCTCCCCACCTCCACGTCCTCGTGGGTCGTGTACATCTCCCGCAGGCACTCGCCGATGTGGGGCACCATCCTCCGCAGCACCTCCCGGCTCATGATCACTCCTGGCCCCCCCATGCAGAAGTTCTCGCCTGGTTCCAGTGCCAGCTTCCCCATCTCCTCCGTGGTGCCGAGCCCGGTCTGTCCCAGGAAGAGCGGCTCGCTGCTGTTCAGGCTCCTGAGGAAGTTCTCCAGTTTGTCCCCTTTGATGTAAACGTCGTCGTCAGCCCTCATAAACCATTCGTATTTGTCCAAGTAGTGGTCATGCATGTATTTGAGCATCATGAAAGATTTCTTCTGGGGTGGGTAAGAGTCGTCTACACCTGGAAGCGGCACGATGGGGATGGGAATAGAGGTGTCCGAACCCTCGCTGGAGAAGAACTCGACCTTGCCAGGAATGGTTTTGGACCATGTTCTAGATTGAAAAAGACAAGAAGGACTAATTAAGTATACAAACCAGGGCAGGCAGAGAGTGCTACCAGAGACTGTACCTCATCTGCTTTACAAACTGTCTTTATAAACGCCTTGAAAGGTTATTTTTTACCACACAAATGAGGACATTGCACACAGAGCAACTGGTACAACATACAAAAAGTTCTGCTATGACAAGCATCTGAATATCATTTTTGCACCTCCACGTGTTAGAAAAGTAGTTGATAGTAGCAGTTCACCAGTGGAAGGCAGGATTTCTTATGCACATTCAGTTTTGGACTAACTAGTATTGGCCACAAAATACAGGGGGGAGCCAGTATGGACAAACAGTTCACATACAACTGGATTTAACACTTCCAAAGCTTCCCTGCAAGTTATTCAGCATCATTTCCACCTTCCATTCCATCTAAGCCTCTCCAAAAGCTCAAATGTGCACTCAGAAGCACTGACTTCCAGAGAGTAAATTCACATGAACTTGCAAGGAATCGGTATCCCATGGAAAAGCAACCAAACAGCAGCTTCTCCAGATGCTGCCTGAAGAAGCAAAGCAGGGAACATGGAGGACCAGTAACCTCAGGCGGGTTTGCCCATACCAGTCAAGTCCTAAAAGATGCCTGTAAAACATGTAACTCCCACAATAACATGGTGCTACCAACACTCACACCTCCAGCAGCTTGCCAGACACTTCATTCCAGATTTTAGTGAAGAGGAACATCACGGAAGAGGAGCTTTTTCTGCGCAAAGCAGCACAGAGACAACATCTGCTCCACACCTTCCGTGCTCCTCTGACAAATCCAACCCATCTGCGTGGGCAAACTGGGTCACTTATATGGCAGGAAGAGCTGCAGGATGATTCCTCAAGGCAGACTGCAGAACACTGTCTCCTCCAGGGAGGATTTTCAGTCATGTAACTGTTACAGCCTTGCCCTAAAAATTATTAATTTTAAGCTTTCAGTACTATTTTCTGAGATTCTATCTGGGGGAAAAAAGCAGAGATCACATATCCCTCACAGAAAACTATTTTCATTGGTAAACCAACAAGTTTTGCCCCTTTTTGTATAGGGGGAGACTATTTTATAATTATATTTGGTGACTGTGCTCAGAATGTAACCTAAAGGTGAATTTGAAAACACTCTCAAGGTAAAGGACACAGTATTCCCTCAATGCATCACTGTCACTCTGACCAGATGCCTCTCAGCACAGGTTTCTTGCCAAAACCTGAGCAGATTTTGGGCAGCACAGACCATCTGAAATTTGAAATCTCCAGATTATCTGTTGTGCAAAGTCTGAAACACAAATATATTTCAGAAGAATTGTTCCTTAAGCTCCACCAGAAAACGCAAAGGCATTTAATTAGACCTACGTAAACATCAACTTTGACACCTTAACAGTTTCACACTAATTGAGCTGTGTGTAATTAATATCACCCAATTACTTTAAAAGCTTTGTCTTCTGGATTTCTTACTGCCATGGGTAGTGTTTCATAGGAAAAGTTTAGATCCCAGCTTCCCAAAGAGCACAGAGTGAAGCAAATAGGAACATTCCCATTGACTTCACAGTAGAGGTGATGAGGCTTTTAATCATCAGTCATGCAATTAATGCACAGTACTACTGGTTATAAGTCATATCCTGTTAAAGCACGGAAAGTTGCCCCTTTTAAACGTGACATGATCATATCCTGACCTTTCACTAATCATTAAGGAAGTTCTGCTGTTTATTTTCTGACACCCACACTCAACATAAAAATCATCTACGGCTCTTCCCATACCAACCCCCAATTTAAGTTTAAAAGACTTCTCTTTGTTAAAGGTACTTGATGCATTTCAATTTTAATCTCACAGAAAGAAAAGGCAGAAGAAGCTACTGAAAAATTTCATCCACTGCAAGCAGTTCCCAAGGGAGCTTTGGATGGACCCAGGACTAGGTATTAGCTAAAGTCTTATGGAAATTTCTGTTTATTGATTTTTTTATTCAAAAGCAAACAATGAATTTTCAGACTTGCTCTCCACATCCGGAAAGATCTGCTTTTGTAATGAATACAATCTATGGACAACATAGGGTGTTTTCTATCACTCCAGGTTTTAGCTCCTTTCTGGATTCATGAGGATTTGTCTTCAACTATTTTTTTAATTTTTTTTTAAACCACCACCCATTTTGTTGGTTGCCAGCTTAAATTTACTCCCTGCTCTCCACCTAGGTACCCTCACCTCAGGACCCACAAAGTATTGTCAAGAGAAGAATTCCCACTCAATGGAGAGGGAACAAAATGCATATACATCCATAAACCCTGGCATGTTTGATTCCCAGCCTTCTCATTGCCCTAAAACCCTCAAATTAAAGCCAGTTTGAGCCCATCTTTCCGTGTGTCTGCGCCATACTTAAGTTTCACATTAAAGCAGGAGTAAAACAGAGAGTAAACCATATATTCCTCATATGTGAGGAGCACAACACAGACAGAAAGACCAGGTCCTAACAATAACCACACCCCAAGGACCAGTGTGCGACCTGGGTCGGCACCAAAACGTTACTTCAGCCTTGGGATCTCACGTCAACCACATCAACCACATCGACCAAGCCCCAGCACAGCTTGACTGAGCCTTTGTTCACTTCCTGCAACAACACAATTTCTGGGATGAGACAACTCGACGTGTTATTTGTGACTGTGGCTTTGAGCATTTGTTCGAACCCAAGCAGGCAAAACACATTCCCACATGGAAAAATGGCCCGAGTGTCTGTGTCAACGCAAGCACAGCTCGGCAGAGGCTGAAACAATGGAGTCACCACGGGCTGCTCCTCACGTCGGAGCCGCAGCTCGCTGCGGCCCTTTTTTGGGGAGAGAATACACAGAGAACAGTTTGCTCAGGAAACATGTTGTTGCACTCAGCCAAAGAAGCCAAACCACAGACAGCAAGATGAACTGCGAGCACGTTTTTCTGACCCCAGTTGATAACAGCAGAACTGAGGGCTGGTAAATGCAAGGACAAATTCTGATCAAAGGAGCTTTTAACTTTTTTATCCGACGTTGCAAAGAATCAGACCTGGCTCGATCACCAGCAACTCCACAGATTAATGTGTTAACACCCACGTTTCTTGCCTGTCCTCCCACCTCCAGTCTCGTTTACCATGTCTGCTCTCAGGTTATGGACAGCAACCTGACCCCTTCAGCTCCTTAGCACAGAGCTCTTGTCTCAACATCTCCCCACCTCTGTGGCCCCACCAGCACCCACTGACATTGCTTTCCTGGTCAAGGGTTCTCCAATATAAGACGTGCAGGTTGTATCTGAAAAAGAACTGTATGTTTGATAATTAAAAAAAACAAGGGAAAATGTTTCTGTTGAAACTTGATGCTCTCTTTCCCCTGCACTGCCCGCTCACCCTCAGCTGTTTAAAGGACATGTGGACACAGCATTTCTGCTACCAGACTCCTGCATCTACATCTGCAGAGAACACCTTGGCTGCAGTGATCACTTGCTGATGGCCTCAGTCAGCTCAAAGCCATTTTGACTCTGTCCAAGGAGAAATATCAGGTTCTGAATACAACTGATACATGTCCTGAACCGGTCATTTAAAAACCCAGCAACTGAACTGCTCTGACAGATCCCAACCTTATCTCCTCCGTGTAATCTGAATCTGCTGCCTAAACAGGAGGATGTGCATGAATCAGGACAGCAAGGCTCTCTATTACCTTCCCCAGGAGGTAAAACACCTGCACAACAGTGTGTGACCTGGTTTCTCTCAGTGCAAGAGGTACAGAACTCTAACAAAGCAGAAGCTTGTCTTCTGGCAAGAAAATCAAAGTGAAAATTAAACAAACACAAACAAAATCAGTAACGCTTCCTGAGGAGAAAGCTCTTAGCAGAGGACATCAGTCTCCAGTACTGGTGGCTACCAAATCAATTTTATCACCCCTCAACTGGTTTTGCACACTGGATACCCTACATATACCCTAATCTGAGCAAGTCACAAGCAAACTGGGTGAAAAGATTTTATCCCAGCTGGCACAGGTATTCACAAAATACAGAAAACTTTGTACACACTGTGCTAAAAACCCCCAATATCTTCTAAAAGGTGACCACAACTATAGTCATCAAATGTTGTCATAAGTTTATTTCTTCATCCAAAAAGAAGCTCAAAAAGCATAGCTTAAAGCAGGAAAAGCAGAGATCTTGAATGTTTTATTCTTGAGTTTCCAGTATTTATTATTTATTTGTATTACCTAGCTTTGTTATCAGCTCTGCAGAAGCACAGTCAGTGGTATTATGCAGACAGAGCTCCCTTTGTAGAGACCCAAGTTGAACACTACGACAAAAAATGGTTTTTGTCTGCAGCTCAGGAACATCCCTTAGAGGAGATCAGAGAAATCATTTAAAGTTTTGAGAAACAGTCATCTTGTATAATTACGCTGAAGAAAATCATAATTTGTGAAGAACTCAGCAAGATAACAGACATAAAAGACTTATGTCTTGAATGCAGCTAAATTTCATGTTGTATTAGGGCTAGTTTTGCATAACTTCAAGGTCCCATCTTTCCAGCAACACTTGCTGCAGGGGAAGCAATGAACCACAGCTCAGCCAGGAGAACTGAGCATGGAAACCAGCACACTGCTCCTGCACATGGTACTGCACATGACCATCATGAGAGGTCACCAAAAAAAGCTGTTTGCTAAAATCTCCAGATAGGTTTAAAAGACCTTGTCGTTAAGATCTGCATTACAGAATCCAGATTTTGAGGAAAAGCTCCTGTCAAGTTTTTGCAGGGCAGCTTTACCAGAGAACCCAAGCAGCTTCTACAGCTCTTAAGAGTCCTTTGAACTAAACTCTTCCAATTTAAAGTGATGCCAGTTTTCTGCCCGTGGATATCCAGCCACCTTCCTCGTGGAAGCAGGGACAGAAATGGATCTATCACCCATAGGCACACCAACAGTCAACGGGTCAGGCGAAGATCAAAGCCCAAGTGTCCCAGAGGTTTGGGCCGTGTGGTTATTGTGGGGTGTGTAGGTGATTTTGTTGCTCCTTATCTCCCACGTACCAACGCCAGCTGCTCTCACTGTATTTGTTTCATACTGTTCCTTAAACATTCTCGCAAATTTTAGGTTACTGCTCGGAAAGCCCAAGTACATCATGTTTCTGCTGGAAGGTACAAGGGCAGGACAGAACCGAGTCCTCACTATTGCAAGACTGGTACAATTCACACGTGAAGTAAAACACGTACTGCGATGTCACGATGTTCAAAGTCACTTCACATGACCCCCAGTGCCACCCAACAGCCTCCACCCAGGCTCTGAATTCAAAAGCAGCACAACAATGTGTTTTGTATTACACTTCTGCAGCAGGCTTAGACAGATAATATGAACTCCTTTAGACCCCAAATCCTTCTGGCTGCCTTTCACTTAAGCCTTTCCAAGCACTCAGGTATTCAGATTTCAGTGCACACTGTTTTCTATAAGCCACCACTACCAGTGTGGCAGCAAACGGAGCCTCCAAAGGGCATCCTTCTGCCACAGGAGAGGGATGGCTCAGCACAAGCCCTGGGCATCACTCATGGTCTTTGTGACACTGGAGGGTGCCGTGGGGACTGTCCCAAACCGAGTACTGCGGCTGTGCTCCTGCAGAGATACTGCCAAAGGCCAGCCGCTGACATCTCGCCATTAACTGCATTCACACTCCTCTCCTGCCACGTTTCCCGGGAAATCTAGTTGCTACGCAAAAAAAAAAAAAAAAAAAAAAAAAAAAAAAAAAAAAAATGGGTTAACTGCCTGATATTTCTGTTCCTGAGACAGCAGACTTAAATCTTCTGGGAGCCTGCTTATTCCCATCCTCTCCTTCCCGCAGCTCTTTTAGGACAACTCCCCTCAACTGCAAAGCCATTAGCACATATTATTGCACTTTCCCTGAACCCCAGCCATACTTTAACTCCTTCCTGCCCGGCTCTTTTCCTGACTATTCCTTGTCCTGTGATGTGACACCGCAGTTCCTGCTGCTGCACTTCACCAGCCTCCTGGAAGGGCAGCTCTGCTAACCTGGCTGTCAGATGCAATAACCGCTGAGGCTGCAAACCTGCTCTGCGAAAACCTGTAGATCTAAAGCTTATTCTCTGCCTCCTACACTACAAAAGCACGACTGTTTCAAAGAGCCAGCTGCTCCCGAAAATCCAGCAGGCCTGATTTGCCTTGCAGTGGTCATTTTGCTCATGATTGATGTTCAGGAAGTGGATTGCTTCCCCTCTTTTAGACCCTATCTGGATTCACAGCAGCAAGGATCAGCAAATGCTTTCCGCTCCGGTCCCTTTTAGCTCTGTCTGTAAATGGCCTTTGAGCCACAGCAATTTGGAGGTATTCAGCCTCTGAATCCCTAATTCCTTTCAGCGTGGTATCAAGGCTCTGCACACGCTGCCACCCCGGGAATGCCTTGCTAGCAGCTTCCCATTTCACTGGCTGTGCCAGCGATTCAGCTCACCAGGATGCTTTGTCAATGTAGTAATCCCAGCAATTGTCTGCTTGAGTACTTCATGGCAATCAAAAGCCATTTAAGATTTCAGGTTTGTCTTCCTCTTCCCCCCTCCCTACCTTCCCTCGAAGATGTCTTCCTGTCACCAGGACATTAGCTCATTTCTTTCACCGACAGAGGTGACAAACACGAATTTAGCCCTACCACACTGCTAAGTGTCTCTTTATCCTCCTTTCCAAGAGCAGACATCATCTCTAGAGGTTAAACCAAAATAGCTGTGTGGCAAAAAGCGATACTCAGATCTCCTTCTAAGGGCTGAAGGAGCCCAGTTCCATTAGCTGGATTTGTTAAGTTGCATCTTTAGCCATTGTTTTGTGTGAGCAGATGTTGCAGATCTGGTTCTGTAAACCCAGCTCTGCCACAGCACGCGACTGCTCAGCGAGCACGGGCAAAAACAGGGATGAGAATCCTTCCCACACCAGCAAAGCGAATTCCTCCCCAAATAACATCAATCTCTGGACAATATTGCGATAAATTTCCCTTTCTTGAATTCTTGACGCAAAATCTGATGGATGCTAGACAAGCTCTTCTGCCAGAAAACCTGTTACGTGATGTTCCAACACAACTCCAGCCTCTCTGTATGTAAATGTAAATTACACAGCGCATGAGATTTGCAATCCAAAATGCTCCATCCCACATGGTGATGAAAAGAACATAACCCTGAAGAAACAGATTCTTTCACCCATTTCAAAGCATCAATCATGCTCTCCCTGTAACTTAATTATAGGTCTAGTACTGAAAGAAGGAATTAAGTTTCCATTAAAATCATAGTTGGTGGACAATATACCTCAGATTGCCCAAATTAAGCAATTTTACTGCATTTGGTGCTGATATAAAGAGAGATTTCCTGGAACCAGAGCTGGGCAGAGGAGGAGATGGAGATGGTCCATCATACACGGTTTTGCCATCCTGTACTTATTGGCCAACAGGGCCAAGTACTTTTCAGCCAGGGCAGGCGGGAGATGGAGAAGGCTTGTTCCAGCACAAGACTAAAGGGGATGTTTTATTAAAGATCCTCTCCAGAGTTCCTGGCTGCTCCTCCGACGGTGCTGGCTGTGCAGTGCTCAGCCAGAGCTGGGGTTATACCCGAGCTCACATTTTAGCTCTTAACTCTTTCAGATTTCCCAAGCCAGGCTTCCCGCGCAGCCTCCCAGCACTGCCTGCTGGCGCGGACGCCGGAGCAATAAGCATATTCCAGCATATTTCAGCAGAGCAGAGTGTTTCACCAAAGCCACAGACACGTCTCTCACAGAGGAGATGATTATCCTGATGCTGCCGAGGCTTTGGACAGAATTCCTGTTAGCACTCACGGCCATACCCAGCTACAGCTGGAGACCACGCCGTGGGCTACAGCAAGCAGCACAAAGATCGTCCCTGCTCCAAAAATAGGTGTGCTCAGGTAACAAGCACTCGGCTCTGAGCCCCCAGTTCCTGCATCAGCTCCACCAGCCCAACGCTTGGAGTGTTTCACCCAAGCTGACTTCCCTCATCCAAGCTCTTTCACTACCTGGTCCAGCCTCAGCAGCAGCTGTGGCGAGCAAAGGTGGGTTTTACTCTTTGTTCCCAGATGCCTTTCCTGGGTCTCATTCCCAAGCATATGGTTTTGGCTTGGTGCAGTGGTCTTTTCTTCCCTATCCAGACGGTCACAACGGTCTCTAAACTTTATTACTGTTCCCATCAGGTTGTCAGCTCTCCCTAGAAGCAGCAGCCAAGGACTGCACCAGCGAGGCACAGCCGTGCCAAGGCAGAAGCACTGAGGGACGAGGCACTTTGACGCCCGTGACCCCTTCGGTGACCAGCGGTCGGTGCCCCCTCGCTGTTGTGGGGCATCCTGACCCTCAGGCAAAGCCGCTGGGGCCACCTGCCAGGCAGCACTTGGCTGAACCAGACCCTGTGAGAGCGGCAATGCGACTCCCTCGACCCCTCGCATCTCCGCCGACCTGCCCGGGCAGCGGAGGAGCGCTCGGGGCACTGATTCTCCTGCACCCCGCACCCGCCCGGACAGCGCCCCGGGGCTCCCTCCCTGCGCCCGGGACGGTGCGAGGAGAGCCGGGGCTGAGCGCGCCCCGAGGATCGCGAACACCTGCCTCGGGCAAGGGCGAGCGGTCCCCGGGGCCGGCGGGGACATCCCGGCTGCAAGGGCATCCCGGGCCGGGGGCTCGTCCCTCGGGGGGACCGGCCGTGCCCAGAGCCCGGCCCGGCCGAACCGAGCCGAGCACAGATGAATGGGACCGAACCGAGCCAAACTCAGCTCAGCTCAACGTGGCCAAACCGAATCGAGCCGAGCCCAGATGAATGGGACCGAACCGAGCCAAGCCCAGCTCAGCTCAACGTGGCCAAACCGAGCCGAGTCAAGCCAACCCGACCCAACCCGACCCCAAGCCCATCCGAACAGACCCCAGCCCAAGGCAGCCCGCCGGACCCGAGCCCCGCCGAGCCCTCCCGACCGCAGCCCCTCGGCCCCCTCCCCGCCCTCTCACCGGTGCGCGGCCACGGCGCGGCTCCGCAGGTACTTCTGCGCCGTCATGACCCCCACGAAGAGGAAGCTCTGAGCCGGCGGGCCGGGGCGGCGCGGCGGGGCGGCGGCGGCGGCGGCGGGCGGCGGGCGGCAGCCCTGCGGGCGGGCTCGGTGGGGCCGCGCCGCCGCCGCCAGCTCGGAGGCGCGGGGCAGGACGAGGCGCGATGCGAGCACGAAGCCCAGCACCAGCCCCAGCAGGACGCTGAGCCAGGCGCGGCGGCCGCGGCCCGCCATGCCCGCCCGGCCCCGCTGCTCACAGCGCCGCCGCCGCCGCCAGCCGCGCCGAGGCGCCCAGCGCCGCCATGGGGGAAGGGGCAGGGACGGGAAGCGGAGGGAGGGGAGCGGGGGGCCGCCCGCCTCCCCGGCCCTGCCCCTCGGCACAGGCGCCGTGTGCGGCCCCTGGCCCCGCCCGGACGCCGCCGAGGTGGCGGGGCCGCCGCGGGCGCAGCCCCCGGGGCCGCCCCCGGACCCCGCGAGGGGGTCCCGGTGAGGGGATGGGATGGAGGAGGAGGAGGGGAGCGGGAGCGGGAGCCGCGGTGGGACCGGCAACCGGCTCGCAAAGCCCCACCCTGGAGAGGGACGTCCCGCCCCGTCCCTGGAAGTGTGCCAGGCCAGGTTGGACGGGGCTTGGAGCAACGTGGTCCAGTGGAAGGTGTCCCTGTCCGCGGCAGGGGTGTTGGTGTGACATGAACTTTAAGGTCCCTTCCGACCCAAACCAGTCTGTGGTTCTATGACAGGGGCCAGCACCTTGCCCCAGCATCCCACACAGGGGACAGGGACCCTGACCCAGCATCCCACACAGGGGATAGGGACCCTGATCCAGTACCCCACACTGGGACCCTGGGACTGGCACACCAGAACATCAGCCCAGCTGCCCAGATCAAGAGGCTGGGACAGGAGGCTAAAAGAACACGGGTGTCCAAATCTGGGGACGGGGACTGACGCCCTGGACATAACCCCAGGACAGGCATCCCAGCACCCTCCACCAAGACCCCAGGGCAGAACCCTGGCTCAGGGGCCAGGACTGGCACACCAGCCCTTCAGTCCAGGATGGGAAGGCACTGGGACACTGGGACCCTGACTCAGGATAGGCACCAGGTCGGGGTTCCTGCTGCCCAAGCCCCAGCCCTGCCCCACGGCACACGCAGAGCCAGAGGGGAGGCAGGTGGGGAGGAGCAGCCTTCCAGCCCCGTTTGCCTGGCACTGATGCATTCCTGCAGCACATGCCCTGGTGCCAGGGAGTGAAGGCACAGGCAGCCCTCCGTTTTTTCCCACCTTGCTAATTAACTCGACCAGAAATAGGTCAGTCTGTTTCCATCCGCAGGCTACAGCGACTGCTCAAGAGTGAAGACTTTATTGAGTGAAGATTTCTTTTTCTTTTGTCCAGACTGACTCTCCATGTGCTTTTCATCTACAGAGCGCTTCAGCTTCAAACACTGCAGCCCCAAAACCTTCACATTTCACAGGAAAAAACCCCTCCAGTCTTAACAGAAGAAACTTATCAAGTACAACCCACTGACCTCCTGCTTATCATTGTGGGTTTTTTCCATTTCCTGCCCACTTCGGCATTTCCAACTGCCATTTTGCATTTTATTTATATCATGATGTCATCCACAACAAGCTGAGAAGAAGAAAAGTCTCGGTGTAATGGCAGCCTGCTCTTTTGAGCAAGAACAGTTGCAAGACAGGAAGCCGTTAACAAATTAATATTCTACATTAATAAAAGCCAAAGAAAGCCATACCTAAAATATTTTTATGATCCCTGTATCACAAGTAATTTTATCACTTCTGGGATTGAACAAGTAATAAGACAATCTGCTTTTCTAAAGAACTCGATGACATGTCTTGAAAACAATGCTTTTGTGGGGGTTTATTGCTCTTCTAATGGTGCAATCCTCATACCAAGGTCAGCACCGGTGAACTCTTGATGTCAGGAGCAACAAAGAACAGAAAGAAAGTGCCACCACAATTTACGGTAATAAACAACAATAAAACTAAAGATAAATAGAAACTAGATAAGAAATCAAGCAATGAATAGGAAAAAAAGAGCAGTTTTCCTTTCGGTTGCCCATGAGCAGAACACAGAGGTATTGAGATGTGTGTTTCTGGGAAAGCAAAGAGAAGAATTAAATGGTGAAAAAGGGAAAGGAAGAACAGTCCAAACTGGAAAACACAAGGTGGGTAAAGTGAGGGAAGGGCAGGAGCACCACTGCTTGGCAAAGGCCACCTGGACTGTCCTTGCCACCCCCTTCCCAACCACTGCTGTAATTCCTTTCTATTTCCCAGGGTTTGCAATGCTTCACTATTATTTCTAACTACAGGTGCCCTGATCCCTTTCCATGAAGTATAGGGTTATCCTCAGCCTGTGCCGCTCTGCACATATGGATCTTTTAGTCCACTTTGAAAAGCTTCTTCACCAAACTCTGCTGCTCCCCTCTCCCCACAAGCTTAAAATACAGGACACCAGTAGTCGTTCAAGCTGAAATAAAAAGTAAGGCCACTCCTTTCCAAGAGAGACACATGTGGCACGTCCATAAGCAGGAACAGGATTACGCTCTGCGTGCTCCAAATCAGCTGTAAAAAACTCCTGATTCAAGGGAAAGCCACTGTGGCCTATGAATTACAGGAAAAGGCAGAGCTAGCGTGGCTAAAAGGCAATAAAAAAGAGAAAGGTTGGGGCTGGGGCTGGGGAGCTGTCAGTTGGCTTCTTCCCACAGAGAAAAGAAGTTAGTCATCAGAACTGAAAACTCCATGCAAGTTCAGCACACATGGAAATGATGAAGCAGAGCAGCACACTGCCCTGTTAGATCTCCTCAGCCCCGAGCTCCCCTTCAGCGTGTTCCCACCCCCCTGCACCTCCACAGCCATCACAGTCCTGGAGCTATTCAATGCAGGGGGTGAGAACACTTGGGGAAGGGGCAGGAGAAGGAAGGGGCAATTTCCTGGTGCCACCTGGAGAGGAGGCACTGTCAGACTTCATGCTGTCACCACACGAGATCACACCCCTGGCTGTAAGGCCGAGATGTCCAGCTATAAGGAGGGGGTGGCACCTGGGAACACCGTGGTGCTCCCACAGCACATCCAAGTGCCTCCCTTTATGTCACTTATTGTGCCAAACTCACGTTCCAAAGTGCTGGCAGGCAAATGCCCCTTCTACTGCTCCTGCCCCCTCCCCTGTTCTTGCATACAGCAGTTGCTGTTTCCACTATTGGAAAAAAAAAAAAAGGAAAAAAAGCAGATTAAGGGAAAACTTGAAGAGAATAGCTTAGTTCTTCCAGTGGAAATATAACCCTGCTGTTACCTGCCTAAGTATGTTTTCAATCTGGATGGCAGAGAAGGGTCATACTACATAATCACCTTTAAGGTGATTCCCCTATTAATACAGCTCTTAGTCTCAATAAACAGTTGACACTATATATTATGGCTCCTATATATTAAAGGCATGGTATTTTTCTCATCTAACACTGTATACAAGCATAAGCACATTTTTATGCAGCGTGTTTTCTATTCCATGTGGGATGGCTTAAGGAAATATTCTGAGGGCTCTCCAAAATCTGCAGAGGATGCACATTGTGTGTGCTCATTCTCCATGTTCCCATCCCACTCACTCCAGTGAGATTAGCACCCGGACCAGCCAGCAAGAGCCCACTTGACAGGCCCACATGGTTTAGATTCATAATCAGATTAACAAAACAGTAATCCTATTTTTAAACAATGAAAAAGCCAAGTCCTTGAGGCGGTGAGTTGGTGTGTGTGTGTGTGCATACAGAATAGATCTCATCCTTTTGGACTAAAGAACCTTAATACCAAATGAAAAAATTTCTTCCACAGAGGAAACTCTGCCCTGTAGAGGAAAAAGGGACTATCTTATATTATACCACTTCTTTCCCATTGGTTTTGATCTCTGATGGGCCCACTCCAATACTTGCAGGATGTACCTTCTACAATATACACTCTTTACCACATTTTAAAATAATAGTTAAAGAAGTGAACTACTTCCTGAATGCTCCAGAAACTTTAATTATGAATGTTCCAGTACTTAAACTTATACTGTAAAAACTGCCCAGGCATTGGAAAATGAGCATATTTCATGTACTCAAGGTAGCAGACTCATGGTGGAAAAAATCTCACTGGGCAACCAGCAGCATTTGTCTCTGTCACAGTATTTCCAGTACCGTTGCATTTTCCCAAATGATGCAGAAACTCCTTCCCCAGCTCCAGAACCCACTTCTTTTTCTCCCTCCCCATCCTCTTCTGGTCCTGCCACAGACCAGACCCAGGCTTTCCTCTCAGCCGAATGACTCAGAAGGTGCCGCTCAAGGGGCTGAGGGAGAACTGTCACCACTCGCTCCTGCTCAAAGCCGGCCCGACATTGCCATCGCCCGGCCCGGCCCCGCAGTGCAGCGCACCGGCCTCCGCCTTCCGGGGCCGAGTTAGGACTCGGGAGTTCTGGGAGGTGATGGAAACCCCTCCTGCTCCCCACGTAGCCCCTCAGGCGTCTGCTCAAGCCTCCAGGTCTCATCGCCCGGGTGGCAGGAGAGGCACTCGAGCTCTGCAGCACGGAGGGGAAGGTGATCTGTTTTTAACGTGCTGCCGCCAGATCTGAGTCAACAAACCACTGGAAAAGTCTAGAACGTGTATTTAAAAAGCAAACATCAAGATGTGATAACCTAAAATGCAGAACAGCTGAAGAAGTGGCAATTACATTATCCATGAAATGGAATTTACAGGCAGTGTTACCCCCTCTAGCGTGAGATGAAGCTTTAGGACCCAGGTTTGGCTTTTTCAAAGTGCATCTTTTAGGCCAAGCTAACAGTAACTCCCCATTTTAATGCAGAGCACTAGAACTAGACTGAAAGGCCAGGTATTTCAGGATATTGATTTTCCTTCCATTCTCTTTAAATATAATTTTCTAAGTTCTTTTCCCTGCCATTCCTGCACGACTGTTACTCACAGAACCAGCTCGGAAGCTCAGCTTGGCAACCAGCACACAGAGGGAACCTTGATCAGCAAACTATCAGTAAACTAGACACAGACAGAGGAATGAAAATGTATCAGTGGAGATCCTACTCTGTGCTGAAAGTGCTTTTCAAAACACAAATGATGACAGGAATAAATACATGAGAACAGCAGCTGCCCACCTGCCAGTGCCCCGCAACAGAAACCTGCAATGAAAATGTGCATTTCCCCCCCAAAGTTGAGCTGAGGGGACCTATCCCATTGCAGACATCGGGTTTTCATAAAAAAAATAACGGAAGTT